GAAGATAGAAAGAGGATCAAGACCTAGATCTAACAGCCATAACAAGGTTCGAACTCGCTGAAGTTATCATCATCAGTCGCAATGGAAATGAACAAATGCTTCCCTGCCTAGCTAAACTGTGGAAGTTCACAGCTTGCCCCAGTTGTTTATAAATGAAGGGGAAAATGTTATTAACAACGTACTTTCAGTCCCAAAATAATTATGATGTTTATTATACTATTTGAAATAATAACTAGAACAATTATTATTAACGACTCTTTCAAAGTTAGTAACACTTCTCGTAATGTTAGGAGACGTTGCTTCTAATTAGAATTCTTCCGGTAATAATTAATTTGAATGTCGTATGTCATGTTGGTAGAAATCCGAAAAAAATAATAATTAAAAAAAACTCAAAAGTAATTATAAACCATATTCAAGTTTTCGGTAGTAATTAAAGACTAAGTTCTCCCGTAGACCAACAAATGTTTACTTTGAATACATGAACGGAAAAAGATAAGCAACTCCAAAAAAAAAAATAAGATCCATGAATTCTCTCATATAAATGATTCCCCTACAAATCTAGGGTCCTTGGCGACCGATCTTAATGCACGAACACGACCAAGCTGGGGGCAATTTATTCGAGAAAAAACAAGAAATGAATCATGTCTTAATTTGTGGAGACCGCAGTAGTAAACAGTCAACCATGAGTCCATTTGTTGCCGTCGATGACTACATACTACAATTAATTAATCTGCTATTCGTTCACCGTGAATGGAACACATCGTCGTTTATATTTTTTAAAAAATCTATATGTGAAATATTTTAGACTTGCTCTCTCTATACTGTACCTTAAAATGAACCACAACACCTTATGATTGAAATTTGACTAAACTGTATAAATGGTTACCTACATTTGTCCGAATTTAAATTTTGGTCCCCTGCATCAACATGTATATGGATTGAGCCTTTACATTTCATTTTGAAACTTTTTTGGTCTCTTTTCACTGTTCCGTTACCATTTCCGTCTTGATGACCGTTGACCCTACTAAGTCAGGGGTATTTTCGGAATGACACATATAAGATCAAAATAACAAATGTTTAAATGGTCCCCTACATTTGTCCGAATTTAAATTTTGATCCCCTACATCAACATGTATATGGATTGAGCCTTTACATTTCATTTTGAAACTTTTTTGGTCTCTTTTCACTGTTCCGTCACCATTTCCGTCTTGATGACCGTTGACCCTACTAAGTCAGGGGTATTTTCGGAATGACACATATAAGATCAAAATAACAAATGTTTAAATGGTCCCCTACATTTGTCCGAATTTAAATTTTGATCCCCTACATCAACATGTATATGGATTGAGCCTTTACATTTCATTTTGAAACTTTTTTGGTCTCTTTTCACTGTTCCATCATCATTTCCGTCTTGATGACCGTTGACCCTGCCAAGTCAAAGGTATTTTCGGAATGACACATATAAGATCAAAATAACAAATATTTTTATAATAAAATAGAATAAAATATTAAAAATTATTATTTTATAATAAAAAATTAAAAATAAAAAAAATTAAAATGATTTCAAATTTCAAATTTCAAATTTTTTTTTCACTTCCCACCTTTCTGGGTCCCACATGCTAGTCAATTTCTCTCCCTTTTTTTGCTATAGTAAAAAAAATTAAAATTAAAAAATAAACTTACCTTCACCCGTCAAAATTAAAAAGCAAAAAAAAGACGGGTGAAGGTAAGTTTTCTTTTTAATTTTGATTTCTTTTACTGTAACAAAAAAAGGGGAAAAATTGACTAGCATGTGGGACCCACAAAGGTGGGAAGTGAAAAAAAATTTGAAATTTGAAATTTGAAATCATTTTAATTTTTTATTTTTATTTTTAAATTATTTAATTTTTTATTATAAAATAATAATTTTTAATATTTTATTCTATTTAATTATAAAAACATTTGTTATTTTGATCTTATATGTGTCATTCCGGTAGAGTCACGGTCATCAAGACGGAAATGGTGACGGAACAGTGAAAAGAGACCAAAAAAGTTTCAAAATGAAATGTAAAGACTCAATCTATATACATGTTGATGTTGGGGACCAAAATTTAAATTCGGACAAATATAGGGGACCATTTAAACATTTGTTATTTTGATCTTATACGTGTCATTCCGAAAATACCCCGACTTGCAGAGGCGATCATCATCAAGACGAAATGACGAAATAATGAAAAGACAAAAAGTTTCAAAATGCAATATAAAGGCTCAATCCATATACATGTGGATGTAGGGGACCAAAATTTAAATTCGGACAAATGTAGGGGACCATTTATACAGTTTAGTCTTGAAATATAGAAGTTTAATTATTAAAATGGAATTTTAGGTTAGTGACAAAATTCTTCTAATTTGGATTGCAAGGGAAAAAAAAAATCTAAAAATAGTAATCATATGGATCTTGGACCCCGACAGGAAAATTCCTCAAGTACAGAATTTAACTCTGTATTACTTATGCTATCCGTGTTAAATAAAAATTTTGTTTGAAATAATATTTCAACTAATCATACTCTTGTTTTTTATATACTCTACGTTCGGGGAAAAAAAATTACATTAATAATATTATTTTAATTTAACAAACTTGATTCTTTTTTTAAAAAAAAAAGGTAAAAGGGTGATGAAATGATGAATAGACGTGATCAAAATTTGTAACAAGTGTACATCTCCAGGTCTTCCACCTTTTGTTTTCCCATTGCTGGCTACTGCCTACTAGAATGTTTGATGATAACGACTGAATCCAAACAAAGTAATAATTTGACATTTCCATGTTGTTTCTTCTAATAATTTCTCCTTTAATCCCTAATTATATGTCAGAAGATTTATGTCTTAATTTGGTTTCCTTCATATGACAATATTTTTTTCCTTAACCTTGACCCTTTCTTTTCTTTCCTTCCATTTATATCTTTTTTTAGTAAGAATTGAGTACGGATTTATGGTGATTTCACTATTTAATATAAAGAAAACTATTGGAAGTGGGTAGCTGATCATTAAAGCGATTTGTGAAAAGTGAAAAGATGTGTAAGTGAATGGGGGAAAAGAAATTAATATTGTCTTAATGTACAGCCAGAAATATGTAAACACACTCTTCAAAATAGAATGATGGGGAAAAAAATGGAGGTAAATATTTTGAACTACACTTAATTATCAATAAAATACCATAAATTGGGGCTCCGTCCTTGCTGTATACCCTAAGTTCAAATTGTCTTTATTTAATACCAGAAGTTGAATTCTCTCTTTTCCGTCCATGAAACGTTTAAAAAGAAAACGGAGGCGTGCAAGCCACGTGACTATTATATAAGGTTAACGGAAGGGGCATTTTTAACATCTTAACCCACCCAGTCCCATGGTCACGTGCCTCGCCCGTGCCTCCCAACCACGTGGACCATCTTTGTAAAAGCAACCCAACACCCGATCCAAACCCACCCACCAGATCTCCAACCTTTCTTTGAAACTCAGAAATCCCGCAAGTGAAGTAAAAAAAAAAATCCTTGAAAGCACCGGATCGATCTTTCGATTCCGGTAAACATAGGTCGAATCGAAAACAAAGAAAACCCTAATTTTGTTCTTATCCTATTAGAAATCAAGCCACCACCATTGTAATTGTTGCGCTTTGGCGGAATTGGGGTGGATCTGACACGGAGCTGCAATCCGAATCCCCTCCCTCCATAGATTCCGGTCATGTCGTCCAGTAGCATATCGTCGGGAAATTTGATTTTGGAGAATGTTGTTTGTAGCAAGTGTAAGGGGGAGGCTTATGTGGTCCCGTCGAAGTCCAACGACAAGCCTTGGCGGTTATATTATAGATGCCACAACCATGGGTTCCTGAAGTAGGTGGATCACACCCTTATTGAATCGAGTTCGGTGTCCCGTTATGCAAGAAGAAGGTTCGTGAATGTAGGTGATTTACATGGAGCTATGTTGAATGGTGAAGGGATAGACGATTCTAGAGAAAAGGTTGCCACAAGACTGAAGAGGGGTTCGACAGAATGCAGCAAATGCAAGAGTACATTGGAGGCCATTTTTTTAATTGTTGTTGCAGGGTCAATTATCAATTTGATGGTTCTCCTAATGGTGTCGGTTATTCTTTTTAGAAGGTAAACTAGTGTTTAATATTTTAGATATTTGAAGGAGAATTTATTTGTGGATGGTGTTATTGTTGTAACTATAATCAGAATTATTTGTTTTTAGAATGTACTTGTTAGGTTTCTGTTAGTACAGTGAAATCGGTTGGTTGGGTTGTGTGTTTTTATCGTCAAGTTTAGTTCTTAGCCGGTTGTGTGTTGTTATTGTCGAGTTTAGTCTTTAGCCGGTTGTGTGTTGTTGTCGTCAAGTTTAGTTCTTACGTTAATGAAAATCGTCGACTTTTGTTTGTTAAAATTGCCGAATATGTTTGTTATTGAAATTTGGATAATGAAATTCGCATTTGGTACTTCAAATCATCGACTATATGTTCTTGAATTTTGATGAATTGTACGAGTAAATCGGTTTATGAAATTTTTAAAGTTTCATATTTCATCTAATTGGAGTAATCCAACTACATTAACTAATCGTTTCAACACTTTGGTGTTGTTTTTATTGCCTCAATCATCTACCAAAAGTGTTGCACTGAATCAAAAGGCAAACTGTTTGGAGTATATGTAACCACTTACAAATGTACACAAAAGTGCATCTTCCCACATTACTTGAAGGAATTTTTTTTTTTTTTTTGGGTTAACAATACCAAGGGCTTCGAAATCTACAAATGCATCCGGCATTTCATTAGGGTTAAACCTGATTATGACAACCAACATGTCCAAAATACAACCCATATTTAAAAACCATCTCCACACGACAGTTTCGGAGAATGGAAGTGCAAAATTCAAAATAGAATACTTAACCAAAATGCTTAATTGTCCCAAGATCAACCATACTTGATAGTGTACTAACACATAAAAGGAAAAAACACAAGTGAAATGCCAAACGGCTTAGACTTTGGTAGATTTTGGCTTCTTTGTTTGTTCAGGGCACTCATAATCCAACACGACGGGCTCAGCCGCAGTCTCTCCAAGTCCATCATTCTTTTTCTTGAAAGCATAGGCAGCTTTCAGCCTAGCAATGCACCTTCTCTTAATGGGAGCACAAACGTTTTTGTTTGCCTTTTTTTTCTTCTTCATTGCGTGAGACACACTTGGTTCCTCAGATGAGACTATGACCTACAATGTAGATGGAACATATTCATGAGTTCTTCAGCAATTGCACATAAATTGAATGGAAAAAGTACCAGAACAACCAATATGGCACTACAGTACCTGTGCAGTAACAGCTGCAGTTTGTCCCATTTGGTGATGACCCAAATCACCCGCACCAGTTGCATGTTCCATTCGCCCCAGTTTTGTAACAGATGCAGATCGCTCAGAACTTTTAACAGCCTACAACAAGTGAAGTTTAGTCAATGCCTTTTTTCATGGTTGCACCAACATTAACAGCAAAACACTATATAAACTCCACTACTTTGTACCTGCGAAACTTCGAATGTATGTTACAAGTTGTCAACATTTGGAGTGTCCTCCACAATTGGATCAGTCAGCAGCAAATAGGAAGTTAGTTAAGGTTAAAAAAAACAAAAATAAATCAAACTCTTGAAGAATAGTATTAAAGGAAGGTATGAAAATACTGTAAACAAACCTGTGGCCGCTTGAGTTTGTTGATAATACCATGAATAGCAGCATGAAAATCACCGTTTAAGTTGGTGCAAACTAACCCACCAAGTCCCTCAACAGCAGCAGATTTGGACTTTTTTCGGCAATCAGACTAAAAAAAAGGGAAAAAAAAGTTCAAAACTCTAATTTGTAATCCTTATTTTTTTTATGTATATATATATATTAGAAAAGAATAAACCCCGACTATTTAAGGAATTTACCTCAAATTCTGGGCAATCCACTTTAGTGTGACCATATTGTGGGTAGTAATCACACTTGACAAAGTTCTGAGGTTAATGGTCAGTATGATAGCCAAATGCATCGTGCCAACTACAGTACGGGGTATTTGCGTCAAACTGTAAGAAATCATCTTCAAATTGACTTTCATTTGGAGCATTTGGTGTGTTTATCACCTGTAAGAAATCATCTTCAAATTGACTTTCATCTGGAGCATTTGGTGTGTTTATCACCTGGAAGGCAAACAAATGAAACGTATTTATATATATATATATATGTATAATATTGAACTGATGTTGTAATAGAACACAAAGGGTGAAACATTGTTCACATCACCTCATCAAGCAAAATGACATCATCTGCAGTTGTGTCATTTGTTGGTTCACTATTTTCTGGTCCAATAGTTTGGCCAGCACCACCACCCTCCGTGTTCATGTTGTTATCTTGCATCCAATTACAAAAATCCATAACTTCGCATGTGTCGGCTGTGTGGCCATATTGATGACAACACTCGCAAAGTGGCGGTATTTCATCATGTGGCCTTCCAGCAGTCATGTTTGCTTCTGCATCTCTTATTTCCTGCAGCTGCAACAACAACACTATCATCATCAAACTTGGAAAAACATCACTAATCTCAAATATAGGTGTAAACCCTAACATAAAAAAAACGTTCAAAACACTAAGGATTGAAAAGAGTTGTTTCCCGTCTTGCCTCCGCTGCCTTATTTTTCTCCCTTCTCTTCTCTAATGCTGGACAGATTGATACAAAGTGTCCTGTGACTTTGCAATATACACGAAAGGAGTTTGGCGTTGGTTTCGGACCCCTTCTCCCCTTTTGACCAACATGTGGTTCGGCATTATTGGTAGTTATTTTAGCCTTCGGAGGCCTGCCTTTCTTTTTTGGCTGAGGTGGATCCACTGGTGGCTGTCACATCACCAATGAACAAATTAAAAAGAAAACTAAAGAAATTAAAACCAAATCTCTATTACTTTTCAAAACCTGAAAAACAAACTACGCACCTTTGGTTTGAGTGTTGACAGCGGGATCCCAGCCTTTCTAGCTTCTTCTAAATCAGGGCACGTATTTTTTACTATGCTCACCCCGACAATAACCACATCTATTTTTGCCAGGACCAACCTTCCTGCTGGCTTTTAGTGAACCCTTTTTGTTGGTCTTAAGAGTAACAGCAGCTTCTTTGTTTCTACTATGCTTTGGCCTTCTAGGTTGAACTTTGAAAAGTGGAGGCAAAATGGGAGGGTCTATTCACTTTGGCCAGTACTTAGGCCCATTGATTGGATATATTACGGGTTTATATGCCTTCAGGTACTTGTCCTTCTTATACCAATCACCCACATAGTTTTCTACCACATCATTCTTATCCCAGATTGCACATATTGCATGTGGACAAGGAAGACCTGTCAATTGCCATTTCCTGCAAGCATATGTCTGATTATTCAGATCTACACACATCTGTTCTAAATGATTCCTCCCCTCATACTTCCCATTTCCAGCATATTCGCAGCTAAATCTTGTGGCTCTATCCTTGTAGGTCTCCAATTTTTTAAAAATCTTTGGACCAATAACAACAAAGTTTTTATTGATCCAGTCCCTCTTCTTCTTGTTCCTCTTCATTAGATACAGTCGCAGCCATTCAAACATACCAATAATGGGCAGCCTTCTTGCTTTTAATATGGCTCTATTAAAACCCTCACAGATATTGTTGACCAGCATGTCACATTTAGTGCTTCTGAAAGTGGGCTCTTGACCAGGAACTAGGTTCTAATTCTTTCAACCACTGCCATGCACCTTCATTGTAATCCTTCAGTTCATCCATCAACCTATGAAACTCCATTTCTGTTGTGGCCTTGGCTATATCAAACATCTTTTGATTCATCTCCAAACCAGGGAACTTATTCTTGAAATTGTTCCACAAGTGCTGGACACAATGTCGATGTGATACTTTATTCAGCACTTGATTTACGGCATTCGTCAGTCCCTAACAAATGCAAAGACAGCAAACTGAGTAAGCGCACACATTTACAAACAGACCAATATAATTAAAAACTGCATAATCTACAAAAGATAAGAGAAAAGTGCAACTTAATTAAACAAGATGAGCTATTACCTTTTGACGGTCTGAAATGATAACCCATTCTGGGGTGTTTCGGATACCCAAATCTTCAACAAGCCAAGACAGAAACCATGTCCAACTAGATTCATTTTCAGTCTCAACTGCTGCAAATGCTATTGGAAATATGTTGTTGTTTGCGTCGAAACCTACTGCTGTCAGCAGCTGCCCCTTATATTGAGTCTTCAAAAAGGTACCATCAACCCCGATGATTTTCCTACACCTTTCCTTGAACCCTTTCTTGCTGGCTGCATAACAAACATACATCCGCAGAAACCTATTGGGATCATCATCCTCACATATAACCTGAATTGAGGTCCCTGGGTTAGCCCTTGTAACTTTTTCCATGTAGCACTCTAAATCTGCATATTGTTCTGTAATCTTCCCCCTAACCTTTTCAAGAGCTTTTTTCTTTGCATTCCATGCTTGTGTTCGAGAAATAGTCAGCCTATGCTCATTCAAAACCCTAAATTGCAGGTGACTCACACTGATTTTAGGATCATCCGCAAAATCAGCGACATACCAATCTGAAACTATGTCTGAGTTCACATTTCTGCTACTGTTGACTCTTCCACAGGTGTGCTTGGTGTTCACTGTCCTAATTTGAAATGTAGGATCCTTTTCATCGTCAACTTTCACTCCATAAACCTCCCAATTGCAATTCTCACAGTATCCTCTGACAAACTTCTTATCATTTTTCTGAAAATTGATCTTTCTCCTGTCCTTTATTCCATGTTGTCTTAGAGCTGCCAATAAAATCCACTTGGTTGCAAATTGCTCATGCAGCTAAAATTTTGGGTTCCCCATGTCTTTCTTTGGGTCAAACACTAGGTTTTTCTGTTCATGGCATTCACTATCATCATCTTCATCACTTCCAGCTATGCTGTGCAGATTATCACAAGACCCACAATCATCATCACTTTCATTCTCTCCACTACCAGTTCCCACCCCAACATCCTCATGCCGTACAAACTCTGATTCACTTCTATATGAGCACCATGTAGTCGATTCCAGCCTTTCATCGACATATTTCTTAAAATCTTCATCATCTTCACTCATCTCAAATTCACTATCAATATAGTCTTCATCTTCACTGTCCTCATCTTCATTACTATCCACCTCATTATCAACCCGGACACTCTTCATGAATGGATCAAACTCAATTGAAGCTATCCTAAAAACTTCCACCAACCTGTGGGGAGTCTTCATCTCAATCAGTCTACCGATATCTTCATCATCTTCAATCCTTGTAAACTTGGGAGTGCCCACATCATCTGGCACAAGATAGAACAATTTATGTGGCCTACAATACCCAGTCTTGTCAATTAGCTTATACAAAGCTTCAACTGTGAGCAACTCGTAATTCACGTCGTCAAAATACTCAGCCTCGCCCTCTACATATTTGTAATCACGCTGGAGAATGAAACCACCACTATCCCGCAATTTCACTGTTAACATCTTCGATCCATCAGCTGTAGCACCAAAAAAATAAGCCAAATAAAAATTCCATATAGGGTGTAATATACTATCTAGCAAACAAAAGGACTAAACCTAACCTAACTACATACAGAAATGAATTAACTTTATGCTGTTACAGCCTTCATATCAGATATTCAAAATTCAAAATTCAAATTTCAAATTCAACCTGTCATCTGACAGTCGACTTTCACTGTTCAAAGTGACGTCATTGTACATGTTAGATCGTACATGTCACCTGATGATGTCGTAGCAGGACTTTTTTCAAAATTCAGAATTTAAAAACTCAAATATCCCCAGAACTGATTAAATCAGATATTCAAAATTCAAATTTCAAAATCAAAAGTTGACATCCTGTTCACAATGACGTCATCGTACTGTCACCTTATGACGTCATAATAGAAAGACTCCGTTCCATTTTGTTTTTTGATCACCATAACCGATTTGTAATTAAACCCTAATACAAATGCATTAAAAAACACTTGTTCTAAACAGATTCTCAGGAAAAGCCAAAAAAAAAAAATTTTAAACACTAACACGAGGAGTTTCAGAAACCCAGGAACCATTTTTTTTTCCTATGACATCTAGATCTCCATAAAAGGCACATGGATCCCATAAAACTTCTAATAAAAAAATCAATCTGCACAGAGACGAAGGGTCTAAAACCCGGTAAAAGAATTAGAGTCGGAATAGAAAAGACACTCAACTCCCGTGAAGAACCTATAAAAAATAAACCCAAAATACTCAGATCTACCCAGATCTACTGAGATCTACTCAGGTGTACGAATAGAAAACTTACCATAGCCAGGAGCTTCATGTTCGTACTCATCCGGAGGATTGAAGTCCACTCCTCTCCACATCCTAAGATGACAAGCAAGCAAACTCAAACCTAAAACCTATTCAAGTCTCAAAAATCTTTTATTTTACCCACATTCGTTTTTCCTTTTTACCTTTTCGATTCGATACCCTGAACCCTAATTTCCCCCCTCCTCCTTCTTTTTTCTCTGTAGTTTGACTCGAGAAGGAAAAAAATAAAAGTGTTGGAAGTCAAAGGGGGTAATGAAATAAGTGTTACCCCGACTGTAGCCTAGTGGGTCCCACATAGTTGGGAGGCGCGGGCGGGGCACGTTACCACGGGCCTGGGTGGGTTAAGATGTTAAAAGGCAAAAATGCCCCTCTGTTAACCTTATATAATAGTCACGTGACTTGCACGCCTCCATCTTCTTTTTAAACGTTTCATGGACGGAAAAGAGAGAATTCAACTTCTGGTATTAAATAAAGACAATTTGAACTTAGAGTATATAGTAAGGACGGAGCCCCAACTTATGGTATTTTATTGATAATTAAGTGTTTGAACTATGTACATGATCTGCAAAGTGGGCACGATAACAATTATATACTCTCTCTGTCCTGAAATTATTGTCCGATTTAGACTTTTTTAATTTAAATTGTACTAAAAATGAAAACTTAAATTAGACAACAATTGTGGGACGGAGAGAAAAAAAAATCATAATTATCAATAAATAGAACTCTTTTTTTAGAGCAGAAATATTGAAAACTCTGTATGCATGTTCACTGGAAAGGAGGATGGAGGTGGGAAGGTGCAATGTGGACAAACTCAATGACATCAGTTGTGATGACGATTCAAATCTAGTTTGATAGGACTGGACAAGGTGTTTGATTTTACATTTTCTTTTGGGTGAAATAATTTGCTTGACTTTCATCAATCCAATGTAACATCATAGTCCAGAGAGCAGCGTTTTGGAGGGGTTGGTCCAAGCACGAGACCGTGATTTGATTATTTGATGTAATCTCAAAATTCAAGTCGCTCACTTTCACGACAACTAAATTTAATTTACTATTCTTAAAAATGTTAATTCCTTCCATTTTGAAAAATATTATTTCGTTTGAATTTTTTTATTTGTAATACAATTTAATAAAAAAAATTTAAAAAAATTAAATTAGACAATTATATAACGGAGGGAGTAACAAAAGACGAACATGTAAATTTAATTCAACGTCCGATAAAGTTACTATTGACGACGTGACATGCATGAAACATAATTTATCAGTCTCAAAATTAGACTAAAATGTCTAAATGGTCTCTTACATTTAGGCCTATTTGAATTTATGTCCCTAATATTAATATTTCAATATCGTAGTCCCAAACATTATGTTTTCAAACTTTTTTAGTCCCATTACACTGTTTCCGGCCATTGACATACCGGAATCAGGGGTATTTTCGTCTTTTAATTTAATTTCAATTTCTATTAAAATTAAAATCATTAAAAATATTTTAAATTCAGATTGCATTATTTAATTGTTCAAATATTATTTATTGATTTAAACTATTATTTTAAAAATTATATGATAATATTTTTAATTAATAAATAATATTTTAATAATTAAATAATAAAATTTTAATTTTAAAATATTTTTAATGATTTAAATTTTAATAAAAATTCAAATTAAATTAAAAGAAAAAAATACCCCTATTTCCGGGATGTCAACGGCCGGAAACAGTGAAATGGGACAAAAAAAGTGCGAAAACATAATGTTTGGGACTACGATATTGAATTGTTAATGTTAAGGACGTAAATTCAAATAGGCCCAAATGTAAGAGACCATTTGGACATTTTAGTCAAATTATTGTCTAATTTAAATTTTTATTTTTAGTTCATTTTACACTAAAAATAAAAATTCAAAACAAACAAAAATTTGAGGATTAAGGGAATACAAGCTAGCAGATGGTATTTGCATAATTTCAGGCATACATTAATTAGCTAGGAGCTAGAGATCAACACCCTAAACATGGTTATCAAATCGACACATTTTGGGTTCAACAAGAGGGTATCAATTACTGAGTTAAAATGGAAAAGATGACAGGATTCATGGAAGTTTCCCATTTAAGTCGAGCGCAAGTATAATAAATATGTGTTCGTTTCACGTACCACATTTTTTGGTGTCGAACCCAAAATAAACAACTATTAACTATAACACTAAACGCATTTCTATTGGGTACGTAGTATTACTGTACTTTGGAGGAGTAAAACCTCCAAAAAAGAAAACCAAAAGCGAAAGAGAGAAAAGTCGACGCCCAAGTCGTCTCCGGCGTACCCCACCACCCAAAGGGGTCACCGTCAATTCTCAGTATCATCATCATCAAAAGAAAGAAGACGATTATTTGGATGTCAAACAATCTTATACTCCTTTTCTGGAATGGGCCCATTAAATTCCTTAGCCACCCTTCTTCTTCTCTCCAAAACACACTTCACCATCAATCAAACCGGCCCTTTGAAGCTTCTTCGGACATGGCACGAAGCTCCCCACGAAACAACTTCACTTCCACCATAAAACTCTCATGAACTTCGATCCGCCACTCATTCACTACTTCTTCATCATCAGCCACCATGGATGGCGGTCATCATGGAAGCTACTACTCTCCTTATAATCATAATGATCCGCCGGCTAGTAACTCAGGGACGCCGCCGGAAGACAGCGGCGCCTCCGCCAGAGTATATGGTGTTAGCAACCCGTCGGAGTTCCAGGTTTCGGAGTTCTTCGGGCTTGATGATTGGATGGATGTAGATCCGTGTACGTTAATGATGGGTTCACAGTCAGTTGGCTTTGCCCACCAAACTACTTGGCCTCTTCGTGATGAAATGGCTGGAACCAACAACATTCAGCAACATGAAAATACTGATACAAGTAAGCATAATTTTTTGTTCCTGAGAGTCTTTTGTTTTTAAGGGTAGTATTACTAGAAAAACCGTTACAACGTTTCAGTTCAAAATCAATTAGTAATTAACGTTAATTTAGAGCGACGAATGAGTAGTAATAAATTTACCGAACTCGGATTTCTATCACAATATAACAAGATTAGTTGCATGGGGGGGTTGGAAATTAAGGATCGAACCATATACCATATGACTTTGGTTTCAGTCGATAAATTATTTCATTTCATGCATATTATACAATTCAGTGTAGATTTTTCAGGGGAGACTGGAGACAGTGGGGGGAGTACTACTACTGGTGCAAGTGGAAAGGGGAAGAAGGTAGTGAGGGAAAAGATTGCATTCAAAACCAAGTCAGACATTGAAATTCTAGATGATGGCTTCAAATGGAGAAAGTATGGCAAGAAAATGGTGAAAAACAGTCCTAACCCAAGGTACACATTTTCTCTCTTCATCGATCAAGTACAGAATAGTTTCATTTGATTTTGGGAAATCAACATTTTTTGTTGGTTTTTCTTATTGGGAAAACTATATATATACAATTACAGTCGGTGTGAATCCTTCCATCTAAAAGAGTACCCATTAAATTGCCTCTTGCCTTTCAATTAATTTTCATACCTCAATGACAAGTTTACCTTAACCAATAGGAAGCATTTTTTTATCAAGTCTCCTTAAATCTATGGAATCTTCTTTTTATTTACAACATCATTGGGAACAATTACCCATAATCCCACTTTTTAACCTTGTCAAATAATGTGGACACCAACAACCGTGGGTAACTTGTCATTTATTACTATTGCTACACAGTAATTATTATTTTCAACTTTGAAGGATGCTTACTTGTCATTATTAATTCGCTGATCAATCGTCGTTCGTTATTGCCGGCCGCATGATTTTCTTATTATAACAAGAATTGAAGAGTTTGATACTTTGACCACGAAGTAACTAACTGATTTGGAATTCATACATCAAAATGAAAAGCTTGAGTCTTCTTCCCTTTCTACGTTACGAAGATTCTGCCTATCTATCTTGGAATATAATAAATTTTTTTTTTTTTTTTAGCCTTCTTTCTTTTTTTTTGTTTTTTTTTGAATAACCGCACCTACAGGTATATATCATCAAAACTTTAAAAAATGGAAGTACTGCAAGTTTTGCAGTAACTTATTTTATATGGAAAATTTAGGCTCCAAACGTTACAAATTAAAATTACATGTAATTTTCTCAAAAGAGTGGAGCGGAACAGATATCACACAAAAGATTTTTCTCTACTCAAGCCAAAATAACTTGTTAGGAGAGTTTTGTCTCTCAAAAGATATTTATCCGACTCATATCTTTTGTGATATATATATATATATATATTTTTAATCACATTAACGTTGGTTTAATGGTATGAACTATAACAGTAAAGTATTATATGGCTCGAATTCGCAATAATTAGAGCAATGACTTCGAACACCCGGTGCTTAATGATATATCAAAAATATATATATATATCTTTATTTTGGACATTCTTGTTAATTATTTCTCTCTTCCCCTTAATAAATTACAAAAATATCCCTTTTGAAAAAGATGATCATTTTGCTATTATGCTTATTATAAACTTTAGATTTGATAGAATGAAGAATATTTTAATAAATACATTTTCTGATTTTTGTCAATTACTCTTATCCAAGAAAAGTTATTTTTGTTTTCGAACCAAAACATTGAAATAAAACAGACATTTTTGTTGGTTGGAAAAGGAGAGTGTACTATGTATGTTTAAAACTAATATAATGGTCATAAGTCTTGACAGAGGAAAAAAAAAAAAAGACAATTTTGCAACGTTTTCATCTCACGACCTCTTAGTCAATTCTATTCATATAAAAGGGGACTTCCCAGTAAGTGGAGAGGAATCTCTGATTTTCTTTTAAAATTTATTCTTTAAGGTAAAAGATGAATCCTCCACATCCTGTTCTAGAAGGAAGGCCTTCACACCCATTACATACCAAAAAAATTTCCCATCATCTTTTTACTCCTGCCACCTTAAGCTTGAAATCCAGCATACAGATATTTACAGAAAAGCATCAACAGCCAACATTCATCGCAGACTCTTGACATGTTCATATAATGTAATCAACAGGAATTACTACAGGTGCTCAGTGGAAGGTTGCCCTGTGAAGAAGCGAGTTGAAAGAGACAATGAGGACCAAAAGTATGTAATAACGACTTATGAGGGCATCCATAACCATCAAGGTCCTTCTCAATTATGACCACCTCAAGAGGGTTCAAAGCTTCTCCACTAGTGTCAGCATCAAATATGTAGCAAGAAGTTTTTATGAGTGCCGAGCATTGGCAACATCCATCTCAGTTGACAATCTTAAATCCCCCTTTTTTTCAGATGTCTTCCATCTGTTCTTGGCAGTTTTAACTAGACAAACTAGATAACCGGATGTTGTACCTCATGCACTCTTAGAACAGATATAGGTTCCGTAAATTAAATGTAATGCTAGTGGTTGGTTCCTTGTGGAGATTTTTTTCCCACGAGGATTGCAGTTTCTATATGATAACTACTCAATTCCAACCCACTCCATTCCCGACTCCACCAAAAACCTAACACGGATTAAGAGCTCAAGATGTCTCCTAAGTTGACAAGGAGGCAGAGCATCTTCTTTGACAATAACAAAACAGCAAACAGACTTCTTCTATGAACAGGATACAGATGGCAATACTCACATCAGGCTAAAGACAAAAGATTGTGTTTATCTCACTTTTCTGTAGGTTGGCACTAATTAAACGGTTTCATGAATAAGCTAGCTAATCATTTTCAACCAGAGGACAACTATGCATGTTAGTAATATATACCTGTTCTACTGAAACACATATCTTACCAACTGAATCATGACCTTGATTAAACATGATACGTCTTTTATGCTTTTGAAGACCAAACAGATCCACTTGGAAGAAAAATATCAGGATTCCGCACATGAATATTCAACTTGGCCAATTCTTTCCATTTGGTTGCTTTTTGCACGTGAGAAGAAATGCTCCACAGAATCTCCCCAGCTGGCTTACCCAGAAATTGTGAGGATGGTTTAACTATAGCATTTGATAGGGAAGGAGGTCTCTTACTGATCCTATTAATACCACTAGAAAGAAACCATCGAGCCCCAGAATGATTCTGTTTTCCAGTTATCAGGACTTGCCTACCAGCTGACACAATATTGATGCCTGCAACGTGTACCTCAGATATTTTAAAAAGTGGAGTGACCTGAGAGATCATCTTCTCATCATTCTCTTGAAAGCAGGCTGCTTCACCCAAGTTAGATTGATTGTGGCCGAAATCTGTTTCTGTGCTCATGTTGGCCATTTCTTGGTGTGGAGAAACAGAGAGTTTTTCTACTTGAATCAAAGCAAGCATAGGTTCACGAACCATTTCAAAATCACGAAATGGGTCTCTGAGTTGCAACCTAAACGCTAATGTGAAGTTGTTACCAAACAAACCACGCCCGGTTCCTGTCGTTGTTAGCTGTTCACTGTCCACATTCGAGAATTTTGCATAATGGGATTCTAAGAGTTTCAGTGTATATCCATCAACTTCACCTTCATAATCAACTCCTTGTGCATCTAATCTGATATAATTATCCAAGGAGATAGAAAGTTTCATCAACCCAGTAAAGTTCTCATTTGTGAAATCCGAAAATTGAGACGCGGTTACTCCTGAAGGGCCAACAACTTCATCCAGTTTAAATCCTTCACCTTTGGCATTACAGTTTCGGATAAAATGAGGCATTATTCTTGATGGTGCTTCTTCATATGACAAACCAGACTGAATCCTTAACCCTTCAATTGAAAGAGCCTCAATATTAGCCAACGCTAAAGGAACAAGGTTTTCCAGAGAAACGTATTCCGAAAGCAAATCTTCTGATTCAGAGCCTAAACACAGGTGGTGAGCATTCTGAACAGCCACGGAGTCTCCATCAGTCTTCTGCATGCAAAACGAGCAAGTATTCACCCTGCAATCAAACAGCAAACCCTGTTAATAAGTATCAAGCAAAGGTCAGCACAGAATTAGGGAAATTAAAATACTATTCTCAAAAAGGTGTCGACAAACCTATCAAGAACTTCTGCACTACATTCATTTTCCAGGCTGATTTGTTGCATCGTCCTTCCAGTAATGTCTTGCAAAGGCATCACTTCATTTGCTTCAAAAAACATATGTTCAGCTCCCCCAGATGCCCAGTGGCGTAGTATGTCTATCACGTCTGAACCCATTATAGCTGGTAGGACAACTTGATTAGAAACTTGCATTATCAGCTTTGCACCATTTCTTGCCCCTCTAAACAGAGATGAACTCATCGATCGTAGAAACCCTCCACCAGAGATCTGAATAATAGGGCCAGAACCTTCTCCTAGAGGAGGCAATTCTGAAGGTTCTTCAGGAGCAACATAGATTGGGCTTCCAAATCCACCAGAAATGGTTTGAGGGGAGTTCTGGAAAAGCTTCTCATTTAGACCCCAACTTTGCATTAGAGTTTCAGTTTCCAAGTTTTCAAGCATTTTTGCATTTCTTCGGCTTCTTAATGACTGACTCACCCTGTTATACTCTTTTTCAGCTTCTTGGATAGCCATCGACAAATCAAAATCATCAGAGCATGCAAACCGGCCAGAGCCAGTTCGAGAAAAACCATTGCCTTCCATATCTTCTGTAACTGAGTCCAAGTCAAGAACCGACTCTCCGAACATATGGCATTCCTTTTCAAACTGTCTGAGTAGACGCTCTCTTGGAGACTCAGGCTCGCTATTATCAGAACTCATATCTATAGCATTGTCATCATGGCCAAACGTATCAAGAAACTCATTAGCCACTAATTCGTTAACATCATCTAGACTACGTGATCTTACCATCCTACCTGCCCCATGGCTAAGATTGGGCTCCACATTGTTCTCTTGCTCAATAATCTTGCTAACATTAAAAAAAGCATTCGGATCTGGTGATTTGGTAGCTAAGAAATTATATGAAACCATTTGGGGTTCATCCCCAGATGGTACTTTTACACCTTCGCCATCCTCTTCATACGAGATTTCCTCAGCATATTTAATGATACTATCAAAATCAAGCTCATTCCCCGAACTTGGTTTCCATCTCTCATTAGAACTTGCCAAATCTTCAGAAAATATTTCTGCATCATCTGAAGCTTGAATGACAGATTCCTGAGCACTTTGAGAATGCTCAAGCTTCAGCTCATCAATTGTCGGCAATTCAATACCCTGTTCAATAACATCAAAATCTATATCTTCAAGATCCTCAGAACCTCCACAAATAGTTTCAGTTAATGAAGCAGATTTGGCACTAAGTGGCACCAGATTTTGAGACTCATTAAGATTAGAAACTTTCCCTTCGTCAAGTTTCTGGTACAAGAGAGTAACTGATTGAGCAAGCTCAGACTTTCGTTTGGCGGATGCTTCAAGAAGAAAGTCCATATCTAATGACTGTGAAGAAACATGGTGCATTTCGTTGGATGTTTTTCTTGAAATACTACTAAGCCTATTAAGAGCACTACTAAGGCTAATTCCGGCAACATCTGGAGGTGGACACACATGAGCACTGACCCCAATAATATCAGAAACCTTCACAAAATGACTTGCATCAAATGAACCATCCCCTGGAATAGTAAATCCAAAACTAACATTCAGCACCGCGCCTTTGCCCTTGCCTTTAAGCTTAAAACTCGTAGTCCATTTCCCTGCAGTCCTCTTTTCCTCCTCCAATTCCTCCCACGTCAGAGGAAGCAACCTCGCCAGGTCCACCCAGTGATTCCCAATATCTAGTGTTGGAGCCCCAACAACGGAAGCCTGAAGAAGGAAGAGTTTGGGCTCATACTTCAATGAATTTTGGGGTCCATTTCTGTTAACATGAACAGAACATTGATGCATCAAAGTTTCTTCAAATTCAGCTATTCCCTGGGAAACTCGAACCGGCTGAGTCCGGAACACCTCATCCTTCCTTTTCCAGTTTACACAGAGCTTGAGATCATTGAAATTTGAGGCCAGACCCTCGATCGAATGTACATGGAGAAAGAATAAACAATTGAATCTATGATGACTACGTAAATGCGTCAAAGTCTTTATGGGATTCCACCGCCAAATTGATGATTTCTTGTTCTTGTGGGAGACATCATGTATAGCAGCCTTAGTATCAGACCCAAGGTGAGACTGAGATAGCAATGCCTTGGTTGGGCCTCTCTGCAGATATAGAGCTTGGCTTATTTCCTCAATATCTCGCAATAGTTGCCCACTGCTCAAATCCTCCTCATTGCTCATCTCACTTATTCTTCAACAACTATATCTGCGAAAGATGAAAAATAAACAAAATCTTAGCCATAGATATTTCAATCAGCGGTGAAGAAACTTGCAATTCATGGAACCTATATGGGAAAAGTTCAAGGAAACTGGCAGATGAGACTCTTAAGCTATACAATATTCTTTCAACACAGAGATAAATCACACAACTAAGACCACCAACGACATGAACCAAGATCAGCCATGTCTTGCATTTCCACTGGATTAGCAACTGAATGTCCTTTTCCCTGCCCACTATAACTTCTCATCGGCCATAATCATAAATACGACTAATAAAAGCCTAAAATGTAGTTGATGAAAAAGGACTTCCTGATCATAGAATAAACTTACATAGCAAAGCAACACCTTTACCACATTCTTAAGCAAACAAATTCTCTTCTCTGTCAATTTCTTGAAACGCTAACAACCGCATAGAGTCCCAGCAAAACAAGATACACACGTTCGACCTTTTGACTCTTTAACTCCTAAAAACAAGAGCCCAATCCAACCATCTGACCAGGGTCATAGAAGAACAAACACCCCTTTTATGATGTAGCAGTTTTATATTAGCTTACAATAGATTCAAGTTTATTTCTTTCTCGACTGATTACCGTATAATCGAACTCTCTAATAAACCCGAGGTTCATAATTCAAGATTACTCAAGCTTCCAAGAAACCTCCCAGAAAAAGGGTAAGGGGAATCATTCAACGAGAAATGCTAAGTCATCATCAGAGAAAATTTTTCCATCATTACTCGAAGAGACCAAGAGGGTTTCCAACACAAGTAATCACAAGTCAAAATAACATGAATTCAGAAGTTCACAAACCAGAAAAATGCTCGGAATATAAAATTTTTCAACGAAGCAAGGCAGACAGACTCACCTGTGAAAAAGGACTCTGCTATGAACTGCAAAAATGATCCAGCCTCCAGGAGTTGATTAGAGATGTACAAGATTGAACATAGAGGCAAAAACAGAAAACTGGGGAGAAGAAGTATGAAGATTCCGGGTCTAATCTGAAGGCCGTGTTGTTGGAACAGTATGTATGACTTTCTTCTTCTTCTCGGCAGCCATTTGATTCTGACTGACCCCAGTGCACGGTAACTCTTTTTGTTCTCTTGAAGTTTTCACTTTTCAGTAGAATTATTTAGGAAATTGGGAGAATATATTAACTTTATGTCATTTAGTGGTTAATTAATGTTTGATTCAGCTGTTTGAGGTGTGGTACGTAGTAGTAATAATTTATTTTCTTTTCACTTAGTATAGATATCCTTAAGTTTGGGGCGTTGGAATTGTGCATGAACAAAATTAATTAACTTTCACTGTCCAAAGAGATCCGTCCGAATCAAATAAGAAAGATTATGAGATTTTTACTTATACAAAAAAAAAAAAAAATCTATCCGAATCAAATAAGGGGCAAATAAGAATAACTAATTGTGACATTATATATTTTTTTATATGCATTTCTAAAAAACTATGAGAAATTTCTTCATCTTCCAAATTGAGAATCGAACTTGTGAGTTATGATTCTCGTTCATTTCACGAATTGTTAGTTTAATTTTGTTAGAACTATTTTCCCTCTTTTTTAGCACCTCGTATATATATAAACATGAAATAATTTAAGTATAGCTGGATAATCAAAAATAAGATGAACTTGATAATCGTAATTCAGTATGTTTTAGAAAAATTAGTTTGTACAGACGTAAAACATGGTGATTGTTTCAAAAATTTGAAAAGTTTTGCTAAAAAATTATGTAAGAAAATACCTTTTTTGTTGCTACTTTTTTTTTTTTTTAGAAATTTCAATTGCATTGATTAGAAAAGGAGAATACACAAAGATTATAATCCGGGAAACACAAAAATATCTAACTTTGTGAGAATATGGGAAAAATATATATTAAAGAATTATGTTAGTAGGTTAGTGAGAGCAACCTGATAGGTTGAAGTGAATTTCCAATAGGAACAAATAATTCAATTCACCATAACTTGAATTCACAGATAAAACTACGCCTGTTTGACCACGGATTACTTTAGTTCCTCTGAAAGCGTGATATATTACTGTATATGATTATTTTCTATACAACGCCTCGTAAATTGTCATCCAACTCATTTCGATAAGCAAAAAAGATAATGCCATTATAATAATGCCATATAAGGTCTCACAGAATCCAGAAAACACAAAACTTCTCCCAAGAAGAACATCATCATCATCATTTTGGTTTTTTTGATACCCAAAAATGGAAACTTTGATACAGGCGCCTTACGGCGCGACCGTGCGCCTCATGTTATCATCACTGGAACGTAATCTGTTGCCGGATGCTGTCATTAGAAGACTCACTCGGTTGCTTTTAGCCAGCCGCCTTCGCTCCGGTTACAAGCCCACTACAGAGCAGCAGCTTTCCGACCTTATGGAATTCGTTCATTGTACTTCGCTATTTCTCACTTTTGCTTCCCTCATTTCGCATTTCATTGTTGAAATCTTTGTGGGTTCTTCGGGTTTTGGGGGTTTATGGTTTTTTTTTTAATCTTTTTGAATTTATTGAAAATGGATAGTGGGTTCTGCTTGATTCTCAAAAATATTCAAGTTTTTGAGCTGATAATAGTTGTAAGTTTCGGTTTTTTAATGGTGGGATGAGTTCATTTTGAATTTTCCGTTGTTAGGTAGAATCTTCGCTAAACCCTCAAGCCTTAATTGATTACTACTGAAAGTTACCGACGGTGGATTAATGTGGCGATAACTTACGTCTCGATTTTTATTTTGTCAGTAACGTGTATTTAATTCTTGTGGCATTGTGTTTGTGCAAATTCCTCGAGTCATTTATGCTACAGTATTTGCTAACATTTTTGGTGGATCAGGTAGTTCAAATGTGAATTGGTAGTATCTGGCTAATGAAATAGGCTGTCGTTTTTATTATAAAAACCTAAAGGTTGGAAAATTATTTTGTTTTGAACTGCTCACTCTTCACTAAGTGTTTTTGTAACGTAACATCTCTTTCATTTACAGTTTTGTTTTATACATATTCCGTCCCACGTAAATGTATTTCCTGATGTTTTGGTGATTAACAGTTGCTTTCTTTATTACCAATTCGGAGACTTGAAAACTTTACTTTAGTAGTTGAGGTTCAATAACTAATGGTGCTTTTGCATTCCGCTAGTCATTTGTGCTAAATGATGTCATTTTGTATATTCAAATTTCAAAATTCTACTGAAAATGTGGTGGTCATGTTTTCCATTCTATTTTTTCTTACTGCTCGTATGCTCCTCTCTTGATGCAGCATTGAGAGAAATGCCAATAGCCATCAATACTGAAGATGCAAAAGCTCAGCATTATGAACTTCCTACCTCCTTCTTCAAGCTTGTTCTTGGAGAACATTTTAAATACAGGCAAGCTTAAATGCACATTATAAAGTTGTATCATTTTATCTTATCAAGAGATAGTTTGCATGACAGATTCTTTCAATTCTTTCATTTTGACGTAATGTTAGAGGTTAAACACCTCTGTTCAACCCGTATGAGTAACCAACTTAAATAGCAATCTTTGATGATTATCGCATATTTGTAAAAAACATAGCTGGTGATACAAGAAGCTGAAATACTCCATGGTACATTCTGTGCCACTCTTGCAGCTGTTGTCTATTTACAGACAGCTCAAAGAGTCTAGAGGATGCTGAGAAGGAAATGTTGGAGCTTTACTGCAAGAGGTCACAACTAGAAGATGGTCATACTGTTCTTGATGTTGGTTGTGGCTGGGGATCTCTTTCTCTCTACATTGCGCAAAAGTTCAGAAATTGTAAGGTTACAGGGATATGCAATTCAGTAACCCAGAAAGCACACATTGAGGAGCAGTGCCGGTATTTTTGCTAATATTGACTTCAACCAAGATGACACTTGTTTAGCATAATGCTGACTGAAAATTTTAAATTGAAGAACGTAGTCTGGGATCCTGTTTGTTGTTTTCACTGGTTGTTATTAAAGTTCCCTTTCTGAACAATGCAAAATTTGAAACTTATAGGGCTCGCCAGTTGCAGAATCTTGAGATTATTGTTGCAGACATTAGCACGTTTGAAATGGAAGCATCCTATGACCGGATATTTTCCATTGAAATGTTTGAGGTATGGCTCTCCCATCCTTGTTTCCAAAAAGTACATGTTGCCTGCCGTGTCTTATTTTGTTTCCATTTTTTCCCTTCCCCCTTCTTTTGGTTGGAAAAGCATATGAAAAATTACAGGGACCTTCTCAAAAAAATATCAGCATGGATGAAGCCAGATGGCCTTCTTTTTGTCCATCACTTTTGCCATAAAACATTCGCCTACCACTTTGAGGTATTATTGGTTTCTGTTTTTACTTTTTTTGGTCGTTTTGAGTCTGTAAATTCGCCAATGTCGATACACTAAGCCATTTATCCATTTTTGTTTGGCGTCTAACTTTTGTTTGTTTTTGCATGTTGTGTAGGATATAAGTGAAGATGATTGGATTACTAGGTACTTCTTCTCTGGAGGTACAATGCCTTCAGCAAATATGCTCCTTTATTTTCAGGTGAGCTCTGTTCGTGAGCATTTTTATCAGCTTCTTTGTTAGTTTGTGTTGCCCAATAATGTCCTTGATTGCTTCTGGTGTGGTTGGCTTGTTCCATCCTCCTTCGTCCTGTAGCTGGTTCCTGGATTTCATTCAGTGGATTCTATCATTCACATTATGCTTAAAATATCTGTTCTTTCCCATTGCTTTGAAGTATCTGTCTAGAATTGATATCTTATACCGAAAGCAAGGGAAACTATTTTTATAATTCTGTGAATGTCTGAATCTCATGCTTAAGAAAGATGAAATTACTGTTAATTCTCTGAGGAAAAAAGTGTGTCTATTAACCCATGCATATATTGGCTGCTTAGAGTTGATAAAGAGGTTAATCATTACCAAATTTATGAAGTAATAATTTACAAATCTCTCTTTAAGGCTATATCATTCCCTATTTGATTGCACTTCCTATATCAGTCTCTGTATCCACTACGATTTACTGAATTTGAGTTGCATTGTTGATTTTGAGATTGAGAAGTCAAACCTTTTGGATGATTTTGGTATTGAGATGTTGGTATATATTGTTGTGTTCCTCACAGGATGATGTATCTGTGGTCAATCATTGGCTTGTTAATGGCAAACACTATGCGCAAACAAGGTATGTACTAAGAATTCATGTCAGTAACTTCACCTGTATATGGATAGGCATTAAGTGAAAATATTTACTGCATACCACGAAATCTTGTCCCAATTTAATTCCTTTTATGTTGTCGGTGTAAGTCTTCGATTTAAAAACTAAAATTTGAAGAAAGACCAACTCAAACTCATAAGCACCTTTCATTTATATGTCCTTGGCCAAGTTGCTGAGACAGCCTGAGTTGATAATAAGGTATGTATATTGCGATGTTTCTTGCAGTGAAGAGTGGCTTAAAAGAATGGACCAGAAGTCGAGTTCTGTTAGACCAATAATGGAATCAACGTATGGGAAGGATTCAGCTGTAAAATGGACGGTCTATTGGAGAACATTCTTCATTGCAGTGGCAGAACTTTTTGGCTATAACAACGGAGAAGAGTGGATGGTCGCACACTTCCTGTTCAAGAAAAAACTCTAATAGCTGATGCAAGCTAATATTTTCTACAAAAATACACCTTATTTGTTCGTTTAGTTACGATTCGCAATAAGTCAGTTGAAAGGTTTCTTTTTTACAGTGGGCTTTCAGAGTATGCAGTCCTCTGTAACAATATGATTTTTTTAAGTGCAAGCTAAGTAACTCAATTTGTGTGCTTTCCCGAAGGGGGAAAAAAAGAAAGAAAGTAGGGAGGACCAAGAACAAACTCATTTTGGTTATCAACGAAGAGCAAACAATTCGATTTTGGTGTTATTTCTATTGACTAGTGTAATCAGGCTCATATCCATTTCTATGTGAATAATGCCAGCAATCTACCTTTTGTTCGGTTATTACAAGGATAAATCTACCTGTAACACTTGTCCCTCACATCCTAGTTAGATTGACTGAGTACAAGAGTTGAAAACTAATACAACATAACCACTTGACGAAGCTTCAATCGTCTGTAACCATCTCATATTCAACAGCTGCTAGTAGCATACTTCTCTGTCCACCTGCAAAATACCAGAATTTGATTCATAAATCAAGTTACTATTGCAGCAATCTGCTCGGTAATTGTAGAATTCGTAAACTAAAAAGATACAAGTGATAGCCTAAAAACAGGAATGTACTTAACCACCCAAAAAAAAGGACGAAAAACAAAGAGAAATTCAATTGATCTGCATTTACTTGACCTCTCAAAGAAACATAAAGAGGACAGCAAAAATAAAGATGAATTGGAGTACGAAATCCAAATTGGTTAATGTTAAGCTCCAAAAAAGGTTCTGCCAACACTCAGCATTTTACTAGGAAGAAATTAGGTTTCACGCACTTAATGTTGACTTCACGATCATGCCCAGTAAAAGGGATTTTGCATCAGAAAGGACATACTCTCGCAGAATCTTCAATGCGAATCCAGCAATAAAATCACAAGGATACATATACAGTACAAGGAAAAACTGAAAAGTAAAATGAAAACAACAATGAATTCAACATAATTAAGATGGACATGAAAGTCTGGAACTAAAAGATTAACGAGCTAGATCATTGCATTATGATTTCCTTAAGTGCAGCAACACAATCTAACAGTTATCATTTAAATCATCCCCCTTTCTGGACCATACAGACTAAATCTAAAGAGTATAAAATAAGCTTCTCTAAAATTAAACTCTTATTTCCAGAAAAGAAAGAAAAAATTAAACTCTCATCATAAACATACTCTAAAAGGTACATTTTTGGAATATTGACATCACCATGTGATTGCAGAAGCGGCAAACAAACTTCTAATAAGCAAAATCAAAGGACGATTTTGGCATGAAATGGGATACAGAGAAAGCTAAATCAATAGAAAAAGGATGAAAAAATGGATCAAAGATACCCAAAAACAAAAATGAGATCAACAAATCATTTTAGTAAGAACAAGATCGCTTTGTCCTTTTCATTTCAGGATAACAAATGGTCGGCAGGATTGCAAGCTGACCTCAAAAGAATAGGAAAGCATAAAGGTTTTCACTAACTAGAGAATCTATTCGGACAATATTCAAAAGAGAGGATTAACAGAGAAACACAAAAGGGCCATACATACTTAAAAGGACACCATTCTAGATTCAGAAGGGAATTTCATTCTCGTAAAAGCACAAAGCATCAATTCCGGAAACTTTTCCATGCCAATGTCAACAGCATCCAGTATCCTACACTACTACTCAAACCAAGTAATTTAGCATCAAACATCCAATTCTTTATGTCACCAAAAAAAAGGTGCACATGTCAGGTTAGGAAATCAAAATTTATACCTGATGCGCAAGTACTGATACCCACTTGTACTATTTATCCTACATTTCTTGGGTGGTTTAATATCCAAAACACAGTGACTAAACTCTTACCACAGCTATTTCAAAGCAAGTTATCCATGTTTTCAATAGCGTGATCTCATCTAATCATATAATGAACCCATATCTTCATCCAGCCTTGCATATTGGTACGAAGATTAACTGTACTAAGAAGTTCATGGAAGCAAAGACACATTCAATTCAATGAAGAAAGGTGCCCAATCATAAGTACCTCAATCTTGTAATCTCCATATTAGCCAGAAACATCATTGGGGCTCTTAGTTTCAGCTTGATTTGTCAAATCCACAATGCTATCCGTTTCTAGGAATCGACTCAAATGCTTGTCATCTAAATGTTGCTGAAACACAAACGCACCAGAACTTTTACAACTGTAGAAAAATTTTCACCAGAGAGTGAGTGAATCTAACAAAATTTGAGAGCTTACAGATAAACATTCCCTGTACTTCTGCCACTCAGTAGCACAATCCTCCTTGTTCCATTGACCTTTCAAGTACCTCTCAGAATACCATCTACACTACCCACAAATTAAAACAAAACACACCAAAGATTCATCAATTAAAAAAAAAAAAAAAAAAAAGGCCAAACAAGGAGATAAAATCCAAAAAATAAAAATCGGGGTTTAGGGTTTAAGGATGAGATAAACCCTTTGCAATTCTCATCTTCTCCCAAGGAATCAAACAACAAAGAACAAAATTCAAAGTTAGTTGGGGTTAAATCTTTCATTTAGAAAGGTTAGAATCGTTCATTACCGGTAGAAGCATTTGTTATAAGCAGCCCTGAGATCAGCACAAGGTGAAGTTGGGCTCTTTTTCTCTCTCAGGATTCCCATATTCGACGGTTCTGGTGATTTCAACTAGAATTCTAATCACAACTTTTCTTGGAGCTGTTGTAGAAATAATTTCAAATGGTCTAATTTGACGGATATGTTGCCGCCTCCTTCCGGCAGTCCTTGCGGGATTTCAGATTTTTTGTCCGGCCGAGCCGTTCTCCCTCACTGGTGGTTTTGCCGCCTCGACGGTGTAGAGCGGAAGTCAGTTTCGAAATATTTTTGTTTCTTGGAGGGTAAGTTTGGAAAAATTGTTTTATTACTACCCGTACATGTAATTTGTACTCCCTCCGTCCCATAATTATTGTCCAGTTTTACTAAAATAAAAAATTTTATTTTTAGTCAAACTTAACTATATTTTACCTTAAAAAACCGGATATACCCCTACATAAGTAATTGTTTAACCACTAAGATTTTATGGATAATGCTTTTTACTAAGGACAAATGTGTAACTTGATCCATAAAAAGTTAAATTGGACAATAATTTTGGGACAAAATTTTTTGGGAAAAGTGGACAATAATTATGGGACGGAGGGAGTAATGAAGATATTCATCACAAACAAAAATACTCTGTTTCAAAAAAAAAATAATAATAATAATAAATACTCCATTTGTTCTCAAGAAAAAACTACTAGTGTAAAAATCAAGGTTGAACCAAACTATCTGTAGTAAGTGTAAATTAAGTAATTGAATAACAAGAAAATGTGTCACACTTTTTTTCCTCTACAAAATGGGGTCAAATCTACAAAATATTCACTCAAATTTTTCTAAATTATTAGTAGAGAAAATCATTACTACTGACAATCAATAGTGTTACATGATATTGTTTTTCCATAAATTGCGCAGTCGAAACCATAGAAATAGTAAGTAAGTAAGTGTTAGACCCGTCCGATGGACGGGGAGGTCGTGCATATTTAGAGATTTTAACGTAATAAAGCAAAAGTAGATTTTATAGTTTTATATATTTTATATTAAAAATAGAAAAACAAAAACATTAGTCATAATTTTTCAATAGTGAATACGATTTTCTTAAATTTAACACAGAAATAATGTTAACAAAAAGTGCTAAAGTCAAGGAGCAATTTATTAAATAGAAAAAATTATTTCAAAATGAATGATCAAATGTCTTGCAAAACTTCTTTGTAGACTACATTAGTAGTCTTGGCATCAAAACGTTAAATCTAGTGATAATTACATATACCTTGGCATCAATCAGGAGAGCTTCAAGACAGACTACATCTTTAGATTTTGCATAGGTTGGTTTCTAAGTTTGGAGCACACGAACATTAACTCTCCAATTGGACTTATCCTTGTGGAGGTGATATCTTCTAACAAATCGAAACGATCATCATAGGCCATATGAAAGTTTGACTTCGTATGATGAAAAATTGAGTTGGATCAATGGACGATTTTGGTACGAAAGAGCCTTGAAACACAAATTGTGTGTATTTTTAGGAATTGTGGGACGCTACGAACACGAACCATCGGCAAAAATCTTCAGCTTTGAAATTTAAATCTCCGAACAACTTCTGATAAGAATGGTTGAGATCATGTGATCCGAAGTTAAAAAAAAAAAAAATGATCAGTTGAGATTTGATATCCTCCATGAACAACTTTATCGGTAAGTGATACCATATTAATATATGATTTCAAAATTTGAACGGAAATCCTTCTTCCGTCTGCATTATAAGGCAACGAAAATTTGCATGGAATAAGAAGATTGGATGAATTTGAAATTGTAAGCATTATCACCATAGCATTTTTTTTTTTTGAAAAAACAAAAATCTATTCCATATCACATTCTACGTATGCATTATCACATTAGCACTTTATTAGCCTTATCCCTACTGAATGGGAAATTAACTTCAATTTTATCACCTTGGCATTAATCAACACCAGTATATAAATGTCATCATTCAAAATCTAAACGTGAAATCTGTTCATCATTCAGCTACGTTTTTTTTTCTTTTTATTTATTTTAATTTTAATTATTTTGTTTTGTGCATTATTAAACCTAGAAAATTAAGAAAATGCCACATATGATAAAATCCTATGTGTCAAAAGCCCCTTGACTTTAGATTTCTCTCTCTGGTTTTTGCCTTAGTATAGTACTAGATGCTTGCCCCGGGCGAATGCCCGGGGTGTTGTCTGTATTTTTAAATCGATTAAATAAAAAATACGAATCATTCTTAAAAGAATAAAAAAAAATAGAAGAATAAAAAAACGATTAAAAGGACAGAAAGTGAGTTATTATACATAAATCTATGCGCAGATTTATAACATTCAATTTACAACGTTTAACTTATGCCCGAGTTTACATAAATCATAAACCAATATCTACAACAGAAGAATAAAAAAAAATTCATCCTTAAAAAATCAAATTTCTTTCATGACAGCTTATTTTTTCTCTGTTGTAGAAATAGATGGATTGATAATTAATGTCAGATTTTAAGTAATTGATTTAAAGGCCCGGGTGTGAGAGAGAAGCGGAATGGAAGATATTCTTTGAAATTGGGGATTGGGAAGACATTATTGTGTTTCACTCGATTTAAGGGGATTTTCTTATATTTGATTTTATTAATTAAATATTGTTGTTTTAAGAGATTAGTATATACCTATAATTAAGAGATTTTTATGTAGCTATAATTAAGGGATTTATGTATTTATCTATTCCATTTTTTTTCTGATTAGTTAAAGTGCCACTTGTCAAAAATGATTTTGTACTGAAAATGACGTTTGGCGGAAAAATTTTCATTGTAGTACTGACACATGTCCTTTTTATTTGCTGTTTTAATTAAGTACTATAGATATAGATACTCCATCTATTCAAAAATAAATAAATAAATAATTCAACATTGAATTTTGAGATATTTTTGGATTTCCATCTCACTTAATGGGCATTTTATTTTTTGACTACTTCACTTTTAACTTCACTTACGTTCATACAGTACTACATGATAAACAAAATACGTGTCTTGATTTTTGAAGATGTTCTGAAATATTGTTACTTAGACGAACATTATTGTTGAGAGTCTAACGCTACTTAATGAGGACTCTACCCTCTCGGATCTTTGGTAGCTAAGTAGCTTGAAATTTGCATACTTGGTAGCATTATGATCGTATAAAAGGGGAAGTCAAACTGATAATGATTAATGTAAGGTTTTTTTTTTGCTGAATAATTCGGATGATTGTAATTAAATATTTTAAAACTGCTTTACAAATTGGCTATTTGATACTACAATATGTTCCTCTTTTTTTTTTTTGAAACTTCTACAATACGTTACTGAAACAAGCATGGTTACTAGTAGTATATTAGTATGGCTTTTCATTCGGCAGAATATAGTAGAAAAGCAAAATTGGGTTGATATAATATACATACGCAATTTAAAACATGTTTACTTTGTTAGGAAAATTAAGGACTTTATTAAATTACTTCTTCAGTCTCTAATAATTAATTTGATAATAATTACTCCTTATGTCTCATAAATTAAAATATTTTTTTTAGAGTTAGGTATAGATCACAGTGGATCAAATCTTATTTCAAGATGTAGCAATTAAAGTGGAGAACTACGGTTAGACCACTGAGGAAAGCAAAGAAGCACAAGCCGAAGATCTGAGAGACTGAAGTTGCAATCCCTAAAATAGAGCCAGAACAGCGACCGGAGGAAGTAGAGCGGCGAACGAAGAAGCTGCAGGACAGTGAGGAAGGGCTATGGATGGATAGGAGACTACCGGCGGCAAGGACAAAACCAATGCAAGTCGGCGAGTAAGAGAGTCAGAAAGACCAACCTAAAGATTTGAAGATGACAATACAAAAGTTTTTTTTTAACACAACAAGAATTTAAGACCAACCTTAAACATGTATGTTCTCATTTCTGATTCAATTCCAATGCATAAATTTCTTGATATTTTTATAAGATAGAAACGACACGAATTGGTTTAAACCAAAGTTTTTCTAGAAAAAAAATATTGATGAATAGAAAGTATTTGGATTGGTTGGATTATAGTAAGTCTTTCATCGGCTTTTCTGATTTTGTTAATTCTCTTTAGGCATCGATTCTGTATTTTCATGAGAAGGCTAAGAAAGCTTGATCCCACGAATACTCTGTATTTTTCAGTGGCGCTTTGATATATATATATATATATATATTGCAATCTATCTTATCAATCTACATTATCTTCAAATTGTAATTCAATATTGAAGTTGGCCGAGTACAAACCATTGATTGATTTTGTGTCACTGGTGGTAATTTTCACTTGTAACTCGAACAATCAGAGCTGAAATTAATCATATTGTGATGGCCAACCACCTATTTAATTCTATTGAGGGTTCACACCTGCATAAAAAAATCCGATGAGAAGGTCAACGTGCAAGTGCTTGGAGGCAAACATATGGAAAATGCAAAGATTTTATTTGTCTTGAAGCTCTCGTCATCAAATATCTCTTTGCATATCAATTTGAAACCAGATATTTAAATCCTGATCATAAGCATCACTGATGGCCAGGAATTATGGCTAGACCGCCACCGACGAGAAGAGCTTCAATATCGGATATCATACGTTCCACTTTCAGGTTTTTTTTTTTCATTTGATTGATTTGTTGTAATCAGTTTGACGAGTTCCATTTGTTGGGTTCAATTCAATTCTTTAATTCAATCAATATCAATGGGGCTTTTTTTTTTGGGGTTCCTGGATAGAACCAAGAAGTTTATTTGCTTCGGATAAGGGTTTTTCAAGGCATATTTTGATAATATATTGAAAGATAATTTTAGTTTGTTGGATGACTAATGTTTTGGAAAGGCACATTGATCACAGTCAAGAAAAGGTGTTTGTTTGTGCATTTTGCTGAATTCCCCTCTATCTGCAAGCTGCCCCTTAATCTGAACAAAGGAGAACTTGGATTGCAATTTCACTTCCAGATTTCAGAAAAAGAACTCAGATATTTTCCTTTCATTGATAGGTACACTCCTATTTTTTTTGACTAGGTGTCCGTTCACTATGAAATATATGTAGATATTTTATACCAGTTTTTGTTTAGAATTTTTCATTTTTTAACATCATGATCATTCTGTTGGTTTTATATTATTTTTACAAGTTGCATATTTTTTTGTACTTTAATTAGTTGTTTTCCATTGTAAAGAAATAAGATTGAAGTGGAATCAAGTTTTCTTAGACGACTTCATTTCCCATGCAAGTTTCAAGATTAGATGTTGGTTTATACATGCTTAAGATTTGAGGATGAGAGGCTCAACAAGAGCTCATTGAACTAGCAGAAAGTCTTTGCTTTAGTATCAGCCAGCATTTATTTCATCAGCGATCGGCATGTTTACCTTTTTAAGGGTGTGTAGAAGGTAATTGTTAGGTTCTTGGTATA